AAGGACTGGTAGAAGAAGAATTTTCCCACAATGATATGAGTTGAGCTGACTTTTTCATTGAATTTCACATAGCCTTGGTTTCCCCAAAGTTGTTCTCATCCTGGGTGGACTGCAGTTTCGACCTCGCATCGGTCTTATCAACAACCTCAGCGGGAATCCCTTTTACCCGCCTTTTCAAATGAAATTAGAGACCTGTCAGCATCCATCTTCTAAAGTATTCTTCGGAGCCCAACTTGTTTGCATATCTCAGACGTATGTGGGAGGCGAATTTGTGCTTTCCATTATAGTCAACGATATTACTATTTACCGAATGAGTAGGCTCTACATATTTTTGAATACGAATTCGAATCCCCAAAGTCATTGAAGGTTATGATACCATTCAATTCTTGCTGATCGTTTAAAAACTAGGTTATTAGCAATATCGAGTTGGGGTGACCTTACCTTTGCAGCATTGACGAAGCATAAGTAATGTAGGAGTTGTATTCGCCCTATTTCGTTTAGGGTGATGAAGGACTGGTAGTTGATTTTCCCACAATGATATGAGTAAAGCTGATGTTTTTCTGTGAATTTCACATAGTCCTGCTTTCCTGCAGTCCACCCCGGACAAAAACACCTCTTGGGAAAACAAGGCAATGTGAAATTCCATGGAAAGTATCAGCTAGACTCATATCAACTACCAGTCCTTCATCAACTTAAATGAAATATCTGATTTACTGGTTGTCTCGAAAACCTACTCATTTACGATATAAGTAATGTAGTCGATTGAAATACAGCAAATAAAACTTTACTTCATTGACTTTTTCAACACATATTGTGATATGGGAAGAGGCCTGGCCATCTTTTAAATTTACATTTGCCCTGTGACCCAAAGGCACTCGCGGCAATCTGGTGTAGTTGTCAACGGGTAAAGATTATACGCTGCACTGTCATGGTTCGAGTCCCGCTTCGAGTGTTGGTAAGACCTAGGCAAGGCTGAAACTACAGTCCACGCTGGACGAGAACATTTTTTGCGAAAGCAAAGCTATGCAACATTCATTGGAAGCGTAAATTTTACTCATACGATTGGTGAAAAATTCAACTTGCCGTCCTTCATCACCTTAAACGAAATAGGGTGAATACATTTCATATATATGTTCCAGAAAGTATCAAATTTAGTGTGCACTGTGACAATTTCTGGTATCAGCCAGGCGCATTGACGCATTGCCAGACGTTTTCTTGACATCAAACTAGATCTCGTCAATTAGAGGTTGCACCCTTATCTTCGAGTTACCTCTAGTCAAACTGTAGAGAGATTTGCTATCGTCTACTCTGCTATTTCATGCTTATCTTTATAGGTCTGCAAATGAGTGCTGCTGACATTAAATTGAATTCCTCTTTAAGAGTAATTGAC